TCCATTCAGTGTCCTCCACCTCTCTCTGCCAATCCCTCCATTGACCTCCATTCAGTGTCCTCCACCCCTCTCTGTCAATCCCTCCATTGACCTCCACTTGGTGTCCTCCATCATTTTCTGCCAATCCCTCCTCTGCCACTGACCTCCATTCAGTGTCCTCCACCCCTCTCTGTCAATCCCTCCACTGGCCTCCATTCAGTGTCCTCCAAAACCCTAAAACCTTAACCCCATGGCCCAATCTACAACCCCACAGCCCTATCCTTGTTCTGTTCTCTTAGCCCTATAGCCCAAATGTAACCCTACTGCACTCGCCTAACCCTATAGTCATAGCCTTAAATCCTGCAGCCTAGCCCTTTAGGTATATCTTTTATCCCATAGCCTAAATCTAACCCTACAGCTCTCTCCCAACCCCATAGTCTGCACCCTAGTGCCACAGGTATACCCTTACCTGACAACCCTAACCCTCACCCCATAGCCCTAACTCCAGCCCACACCTTACCCTGTTGTCCTACCCCTATATCCTGCAGCCTAACCCTATAGGTATATCCTTTACCCTACAACCCTAATCTTTACCCCATAGCCTAAATATAACCCTACAGCCCTCAGCTTACCCTGTTGTCCTCACCCTGTAGCCCACAGCCAAGTTCTAGAGGTATACCCTTGCCTTACAGCCCTGACCTTAACCCCATAGCCTAAATCTAACCCTACAACCCTCTCCTAAGCCTATAGTCCTAACCCTATAGTCTGCACCCCAGTGCCACTGGTAAACCCTTACCTGACAACCCTAACCCTCACCCCATAGCCCTAACTCCAACCCTACAGCCCTCACCTTACCCTGTTGTCCTACCCTTATATCCTGCAGCCTAGCCCTATAGGTATATCCTTTACCCTACAACCCTAATCTTTACCCCATAGCCTAAATCTAACCCTACAGCCCTCAGCTTACCCTGTTGTCCTCACCCTGTAGCCCACAGCCTAGTTCTAGAGGTATACTCTTCCCTTACAGCCCTGACCTTAACCCCATAGCCTAGATCTAACCCTAAAACCCTCACCTTACCCTGCTGTCCTAACCTTGTAGCCCACAGCCTAGTTCTAGAGGTATACCCTTACCTGACAACCCTAACCCTCACCCCATAGCCCTAACTCCAACCCCACAGCCCTCACCTTACCTTGTTGTCCTCACCCTGTAGCCCACAGCCTAGTTCTAGAGGTATACCCTTACCTTACAGCCCTGACCTTAACCCCATAGCCTAAATCTAACCCTACAACCCTCTCCTAAGCCTATAGTCTGCACCCTAGTGCCACAGGTATACCCTTACCTGACAACCCTAACTCTCACCCCATAGCCCTAACTCCATCCCTACAGCCCTCACCTTACCCTGTTGTCCTCACCCTGTAGCCCACAGCCTAGTTCTAGAGGTATACGCTTACCTTACAGCCCTGACCTTAACCCCATAGCCTAAATCTAATCCTACAACCATCACCTTACCCTGTTGTCTTCATTCTGTAGCCCACAGCCTAGTTCTAGAGGTATACCCTTACCTGACAACCCTAACCCTCACCCCATAGCCCTAACTCCAACCCCACAGCCCTCACCTTACCTTGTTGTCCTCACCCTGTAGCCCACAGCCTAGCTCTAGAGGTATACGCTTACCTTACAGCCCTGACCTTAACCCCATAGCCTAAATCTAACCCTACAACCCTCTCCTAAGCCTATAGTCCTAACCCTATAGTCTGCACCCTAGCCCCGCAGGTATCACCATAACCCCATAGCCCAACTTTCAACCCTACAGCCCACTCCTTACCATGTTGTCCCTAAAGCACCAATCCTAGCCTTCCATGAATACCCCGACCCTACAGCCCTACCCTAACCCCAACCCCACACCTGTTCCTGTAGTTCCCCATCTTCTTTTCTGCTCGTGCCTGCCCCATCAAAGATGTCAAGTTGGGCTTCGCCAACTTCAAAGAGCGTCCATTTTGCTCCTCTTCCAGATGCCAGAACATTTCGGTCCGTTTTTTATGAAACTGAAATCTCTTTCTTAATTAGCGGCTATTGTTTTCTTGGCAAGATGGAAACAAAAACAACAAAAGAAGATGCAAAAAAAAAAAAAAAATCATAAATGTAGAAGCTGCCCAACGCAGCTGACGGTTCCGTCTCTCAATATGTTCCCACGTCTGCTGCGAATGGCGTCCTGCGCCTTTTTTTCGAGGCTCTCTTCTTTGGATTTAGCCGGCTCAGCAGCACCGGCGGTGTATAATCAGCCTCCCGTTGATTAAAAATATCTCGTTCTAATTCGGGGACTCCAATTATCTCCTCAGCGGAATCCAAGTGTAATTATTTCTGCAGATTTTTTTTTTTTTTTTCTTCTTCTTTCCTCCGTCTTTTCGGAATTCATATTCCCTCCTGTCGCTCCCGCTCGTTTCGCTCTCTCTCTCTCTCTGTCTGCGTTCGGCGCCGGTTCCGGGTCTTGGAAATGCCCCGCGTTCCTTGTTTTATTGTATAATTAATGTCATTTTCTCGCTGAGTCATTTCATCTTAGGGGTTTTCCTTTTCCCTTTTTCAAGCTTCCTTCTCCCGGTGGCTCCCCGCTTCCCGCATACACGGTTATTGTTTTGCTGGGTAATGAGCCCTTAGCGGTAGGCCTCGCAGCTGCGTTGCCGTGGCAACTGAGTAGGCCGCGGCGCGGCCTGCGGAACGGCGACCCGTACGAACTGGAACGTTATGTTTTGGGGGGGGGGGGGGGGATTCGAGTTCTTTTGTCACATTGTAAAAATGGACTTAATGGCTGTTTTTCTTTTCAATCTGCGCAAGCTGTACAATTAGCGGCTCCGCTCGCCACCTCTCCCGCCGGGCGCCTCTTAAAGGGTAAATCCACCCTCGAGGGTCGGACATTCAAAAAATAATCTCGTGGGCTTCCCGCGGGCTCTTACATTTTATTGGGAGGAATGCTTTGTAGCCTAAAGTCAGTCTTTTAGCCTTTTAATTCTTTATTTGACTTTGAATGATCTCATTATGGTCCTGGGGGCGGGGCTTCATTTTCTTTGGCTTCTCTGATGATGGCATTGCAGACTGCACTGTGCATGACTGGTGGTCACATTCAATTGAGGGGTTCCCACCATCACTGGGCTGAGTTCCCGGCTCTGTACACCCGCTGTGCCCATTATGAGGGGTTCCCGCCATCCCTGTGCTGAATTCCCGGCTCTGTACGCCTGCTGTGCCCTATGAGGGGTTCCCGTCATCCCTGTACTGAGTTCCCGGGTCTGTACGCCCGCTGTGCCCATTATGAGGGGTTTCCACCATCCCTGTGCTGAATTCCTGGGTCTGTACACCTGCTGTGCCCATTATGAGGGGTTCCCACCATCCCTGTGCTGAATTCCCGGGTCTGTACACCTGCTGTGCCCATTATGAGGGGTTCCCACCATCCCTGTGCTGAATTCCTGGGTCTGTACACCTGCTGTGCCCATTATGATAGGTTCCCATCATCCCTGTGCCAAGTTCCCAGGTCTGTATGCCTGCTGTACCAGTTATGAGGGGTTTCCACCATCCTTGTGCTGAGTTTCCAGGTCTGTACGCCCGCTGTGCCCATTATGAAGGGTTGCCACCAGGGGTGGACTGACAACTCATGGGGCCCCCTGGGCAATAGGGGATCATGGGGCCCCTGTGTCCTCGCCCACACTCAAACCACACCCAAAAAAGCCTATGAAACGTATCAGGGGCATCTCATTGGTCCCTTACTGACCCCGGGCCCTCAGTCGGTGTCCGCCCCAGTTTCTGTATGGTCAGTCCGCCCACCACCCCTGCTTCCCATCATCCCTGTGCTGAGTTCCTGGGTCTGTACACACGCTGTGCCCAATATGAAGGGTTCCCACCATCCCTGTGCTGAGTTCCCAGGTCTGTATGCCCGCTGTGCCCATTATGAGGGGTTCTCACCATCCCTGTGCTGAGTTCCCGGGTCTGTACACCCACTGTACCCATTATGAGGGGATCCCACCATCCCTGTGCTTAGTTCCTGTGCTGTGCCCGCTGTGCCCATTATGAGGGGTTCTTGCCACCCCTGTGCTGAGTTCCCTGGTCTGTACACCCGCTGTGCCCATTATGAGGGGTTCCCACCATCCCTGTACTGAGTTTCTTGGGTCTGTACGCCCGCTGTGCCCATTATGAGGGGTTCCCACCGTCCCTGTGCCGAGTTCCCGGGTCTGTACCCCCACTGTGCCCATTATGAGGGGTTCCCACCATCCCTGTGCTGGAGTTAGTTCCTGTGCTGTGCCCATTATGAGGGGTTCCCACCATCCCTGTGCTGAGTTCCCGGGTCTGTACACCCGCCGTGCCCATTATGAGGGGTTCCCACCATCCCCCAGGGAATGTCAGTGGAGGAAAGGACAGAAGTAAAGCGGTGAAGTATGGCGCAGGGATCCGTCTCTTTTTATTGGGTGGATCAGCTCCGCAGACTCCACCCATCTCTGAGAAAGACCAACTTTTAATATACAGGTCCCTTTGATTTTCTTTGTTCGTGGTTTGGCCGTCTCTCTCCCTTCCTGCCTGATGGCTCTCGGTATCTATAATTGCGCTTTGTCGGGGTGCGCAGTCAGTCGGTCCGTTCTTTTTTCTCCATTCGCGAGCCCCTTTGTGCGGCCCGGCTGCCAAGATTACACATCACACTATAAAGGGCCCTGTGAATGCGGCCATTGTGCCTGCTGACGGCGAGCGCCGATCGCTCTCAGATGTAGTCGTCTCCCGCCTCACATCTCTCTAATTGGAAGTGGTATAAATTTTGTATGAATTGTCACCCTTCCAATCGCTGACCTACTTATCGCCTCGTTGCCGCACACACAGGCAGCGCCTACAATTCAGCAGAGATTTCAGAGGGCCGGACGCGCTGCGAGACGCTCCGCCACCGGGCCTGAAAAACCTGCGACGCCCACTAAACAGGGCGTGTCACCGGAGGGAACGGGTATATGGCATATAAGCTTCAAACGGATCTCCATCCTTCTGGTGTACTGGCTCCTCCCCTTCAGTCTTGCACAGGTGTACCGGCTCCTCCCCTTCAGGCAATCTTGCACAGGTGTACCGGCTCCTCCCCTTCAGTCTTGCACAGGTGTACCGGCTCCTCCCCCCTCCCCTTCAGTCTTGCACACAGGTGTACCGGCTCCTCCCCTTCAGTCTTCAACAGTTGTACCCTGCTCCTCCCCTTCAGCTTGCACAGGTGTACATGCTCCTCCCCTTCAGTATTGTACAGGTATCCCGGCTCCTCCCCTTCAGTCTTGCACAGGTGTCCCAGCTCCTCCCCTTCAGTCTTGCACAGGTGTACATGCTCCTCCCCTTCAGTATTGCACAGTTGTCCCTGCTCCTCCCCTTCAGCCTTGCACAGGTGTACATGTTCCTCCCCTTCAGTATTGTACAGGTATCCCGCCTCCTCCCCTTCAGTCTTACACAGGTGTCCCGGCTCCTCCCCTTCAGTCTTGCACAGGTGTCCCAGCTCCTCCCCTTCAGTCTTGCACAGGTGTACAGGCTCCTCCCCTTCAGTATTGTACAGGTGTCCCGGCTCCTCCCCTTCAGTCTTGCACAGGTGTACATGCTCCTCCCCTTCAGTATTGTACTGGTGTCCCGGCTCCTCCCCTTTAGTCTTGCACAGGTGTCCCGACTCCTCCCCTTTAGTCTTGCACAGTTGTCCCAGCACCTCCCCTTCAGTCTTACACAGGTGTCCCGGCTCCCCTCCCCTTCAGCTCCTCTTGCATAGGTGTCCCGGCTCCTCCCCTTCAGTCTTGCGCAGGTGTCCCGGCTCCTCCCCTTCAGTCGCACAGGTGCGCAGGTGTCCCAGGGTACTCCTCCCCTTCAGTTTTACACAGGTGTCCTGGCTCCTCCCCTTCAGTCTTGCACAGGCGTAGCGGCTCCTCCCCTGAACTGAAACGGCTTACTCTGATTTCACTGCACACTGTGAGCTTCTCACAATGTGCATTAGAAGCTGCAGTCAGTCAGAGCTTTGCCTCATTTCCTGGCTGGAGGACATCCAGCATCATCTAGCTTTTTCCAACCCAGCCTGACAGTCCCTGGCCCCGCCCCTTTCAATCTTAAAGTCTCGGCATCATATGTGGGCGCGGGTGCCTATGCAAATACAGCCTGCCTAGGAACGCCCACTCCTGCAGACTGACACCCACCCATCAAGACATTTTGATACTTGCATAAGTCTTCCCACTGCTGGAATCAGGGTTTAGGAACTTGATGTTTCCAGGAAGCCATCTACTGGCCCCTCCCACCGGCTATGATCTGCCTGGATTGCATAGAGAAGCTTAGAGACCTAGTGGATCTAAAGTAAGGTGTTTAAAAAATGTAATTAGCATGTTAATGGGGGGGGGGGGGACCTGGGGAAGACACAACTGAGCAGATTAAACCTCAGCTTTAGGTTTGAACAGAGATACACTGAGGGACTCTGAGGCCAGGAGGAGTGCAGAGATGGCGGGAAGGTCTTCTCACAAATTGCATCCATTTTTAATCCATAAATCAAGAATTGCCTCAGTCACCCGTGCTGTACTTAGGAGGCCAGTAGGTGACTCGGCTCCACTATAGCTAAATTACTATACAGTAATTGGCAGACCCTTTAATTTAGTTGGGCTGACCCTGTAGTTGAGGTGGATTGACCCTTTAATTCGATGGACTTACCTTTTAATTCAGATGGATTGACCCATTTTGTTGAGGTAGATTGACCCTTTAATTCAGATGGACTTACCTTTTAATTCAGGTGGACTGACCCTTTAATTCAGGTGGACTGACTCTTTAGTTGCGTGGACTAACTCTTTAGCTGAGGTGGACTGACCCTTTAATTGAGGTGGAATGACCCTTTAATTGAGGTGGACTGACCCTTTACTTGCGGTGGATGACCCTTGCGGTGGACTGACCCTTTATTTGCGGTGGATGACCCTTTAGTTGCGGTGGACTGACCCTTTAGGATGACCCTTGCGGTGGACTGACCCTTTAGTTGCGGTGGACTGACCCTTTAGTTGCGGTGGATTGACCCTTTAGTTGCGGTGGATGACCCTTTAGTTGCGGTGGACTGACCCTTTAGTTGCGGTGGACTGACCTTTAGTTGCGGTGGACTGACCCTTTAGTAGTTGCGCGTGGACTGACCCTTTAGTTGCGGTGGACCCTTTAGTTGCGGTGATGACCTTTAGTTGCGGTGGACTGACCCTTTAGTTGCGGTGGACGACCCTTTAGTTGCGGTGGACTGCGGTGGACTGACCCTTTAGTTGCGGTGGACTGACCCTTTAGTTGCGGTGGATGACCCTTTAGTTGAGGTTTAGTTGGTGGATGACCCTTTAGTTGAGGTGGATGGACTGACCCTTTAGTTGAAGGTGGATGACCCTTTAGTTGAGGTGGATGACCCTTTAGTTGAGGTGGATTGACCCTTTAGTTAAGGATGACCCTTTAGTTGATCCCTTTAGTTGCGGTGGATTGATCCTTTAGTGACCCTTTAGTTGCGGTGGATGACCCTTTACCTAAAATGGACTAACCCTTTAATTCAGGTGGATTTACCTTTTAATTAAGGCAGATTAACCCTTCAATTAAGGAGGACTGGCCCCCTAATTCAGGTGGACTGACCCTTTAATTCAGGTGGACTGACCCTTTAAGTACAGCTCCCATTTGGAATGTAAGCAGAGATGGACACTAGTAGTGTATTTTTTTCGGAGGGGATGGAGAGGTCATTGTGTAAGCTCCTTTCCCATTTTAATACACAGCTGGTTACATAAATCCTTGCTGGATATTTAGAATACACCCGTACATCGGGATTACAAGTCGCTCCAAGGGCGGACACAAGGGCGTATGATAATGTACCCTCAGATATACGGATATTCGGCTTGTCGAGCGAGAGGAAAGACAGAATTTAAGTCAAGCTGTCAGACGCGCAGCAACGTTGCGGTTTTGTAGAGCAGATCGAGACGAGGTAGATACTGCCTTCCCTCTTTATTCTTAAAGCAAACCTGTCATTCTTCCCACTGATCCCCAATGTAAGGGACATTCTTCCCACTGATCCCAATGTAAGGGACATTCTTCCCCACTGACCCCCAATGTAAGGGACATTCTTCCCACTGATCACCAATGACCCCCCAATGATAAGGGACATTCTTCCCACTGACCACCAATGTAAGGGACATTCTTCCCACTGACCACCAATGTAAGGGACATTCTTCCCACTGATCACCAATGTAAGGGACATTCTTCCCACTGATCCCCAATGTAAGGGACATTCTTCCCACTGACCCCCAATGTAAGGGACATTCTTCCCACTGACCCACAATGTAAGGGACATTCTTCCCACTGATCCCCAATGTAAGGGACATTCTTCCCACTGACCCCCAATGTAAGGGACATTCTCCCCACTGATCCCCAATGTAAGGGACATTCTCCCCACTGACCCCCAATGTAAGGGACATTCTTCCCACTGATCCCCAATGTAAGGGACATTCTTCCCACTGACCCCCAATGTAAGGGACATTCTTCCCACTGATCCCCAATGTAAGGGACATTCTTCCCCACTGACCCCAATGTAAGGGACATTCTTCCCACTGATCCCCCAATGTAAGGGACATTCTCCCCACTGACCTTCCACTGACCAATGTAAGGGACATTCTTCCCACTGACCACCAATGTAAGGGACATTCTTCCCACTGACCCCCAATGTAAGGGACATTCTTCCCACTGAAGGGACACCAATGTAAGGGACATTCTTCCCACTGACCCCCAATGTAAGGGACATTCTTCCCACTGATCCCAATGTAAGGGACATTCTTCCCACTGATCACCAATGTAAGGGACATTCTTCCCCATTCTTCCACTGATCCCCCAATGTAAGGGACATTCTTCCCACTGATCCCCAATGTAAGGGACCCCCCAATGTAAGGGACATTCTTCCTGACCACCACCCCCAATGTAAGGGACATTCTTCCCACTGACCCACCAATGTAAGGAGCATTCTTCCAACCACCAATGTAAGGAATCATTCTTCCCACTGATCACCAATGTAAGGGACATTCTTCCCACTGACCCCAATGTAAGGGACATTCTTCCCACTGATCCCCAATGTAAGGGACATTCTTCCCACTGATCACCAATGTAAGGGACATTCTTCCCACTGATCCCAAATGTAAGGACATTCTTCCCACTGACCACCAATGTAAGGGACATTCTTCCCACTGACCACCAATGTAAGGGACATTCTTCCCACTGACCACCAATGTAAGGGACATTCTTCCCACTGATCACACAATGTAAGGAGCATTCTTACCACTGACCACCAATGTAAGGACATTCTTCCCACTGATCACCAATGTAAGGGACATTCTTCCCACTGATCACCAATGTAAGGGACATTCTTCCCACTGACACCAATGTAAGGGACATTCTTCCCACCGACCACCAATGTAAGGGACATTCTTCCCACTGATCACCAATGTAAGGGACATTCTTCCCACTGACCACCAATGTAAGGGACATTCTTCCCACCGACCACCAATGTAAGGGACATTCTTCCCACTGATCACCAATGTAAGGGACATTCTTCCCACTGACCACCAATGTAAGGGACATTCTTCCCACCGACCACCAATGTAAGGAGCATTCTTCCCACTGACCCCCCAATGTAAGGAGCATTCTTCCCACTGATTACCAATGTAAGGAGCATGCTTCTCAATGACCACCAATGTAAAAACCAATGTTCCCATTGCCCCCCAACTAATTGGTTTGAGATCTGAAAATTATTTCAAGGGTTCCTCTGAGGTAAAAAGTATGAGAGAGGTTGGACTAGACTAAGTCACTGGATGTTTTCTGGAAAATGATACAATTACCCCATATTGTGTCACGTCAGGAGGTATTTCAAGATTTGTAACGTTCAATAGCCGCAACAGGAAATGAGAGGAAGTTCCTCCAAAGTGAGGTTGTCACCAGGACCCTCTTTGGAAGATTTCCCCTTTTATTCTTGTTTGACAACCCAAAATTTGGGAATTTCTTTCACTCTCGGTGATAACAGTAAACAGGATAAATAGATTGGGTGAATCTCCGAAACGGGGAACATCGAGTTCTGAGACCATCAAAACTGCCATCAGAGGTTCCCTGTGCCAAAACAATATCTAAACTCTACACAGAAGAGAGAGAGAGAGGGACATGATTTCACGTTCGTAGGCTCAGTTAGGTCATCCGATTTGGACAAAGGAAGATTGTTCGCCGTTCTCTTCCCACGGTGGGGTTTCATAGACCTGTGCCAGCTGTTTTCAGACTCAGATAATACGGTTAATGCCGAGCATGCAACCCAACAAGCTTTGTGAATAGATTAGCTCTTGGCTTTGTGCCGTTGCCAACTGAAGAAGGCAAGGCTCCTCTGTGATGTCCGTTTTCAGGCCTCGTTGTCCACTTTTTTGTTTTACATTCTCCAGCAAATAGAAATTCTCCCCTCATAATGAGCATGTGAACCTCAACATGATCCCTCAACTGCTTCTTATATACCCTCCCAAAGGCCGTCGCTTATAGTAAGCCAAGAACATCGTTCATTCCAACTTTCTAGGCATTGCCCAACTGCAATGACCAGAATGGAGGTACCACTGGAGCATCACATGTCCCCTGTCATCAGGTGGGAGCTATTGATTGGTTGGCAGTGGCCAGGTGATCCTCAATCGCCTAAAGTGGTGGTAGGTCATATATGGAAATTTTTCTCAAGGTTTAAAGACCAATTACCAACCAAAGCTTTCCATTTTGTTTTGGATAGAAGGAGAAATGGTGAGAGGCTCTGTTATTTATTTTTTTTGCCATCCCTGTTCCTGTTGGTGGGATCCCCCTGGTATTTCCTGTCAGGACAGGAAGTGATCTCCAACTGGGACACAGTGGTATCAATGGAGCACCAGCGGTCATTGTAGCTGTCTGTAGGAGGGCATTCCTATCTCAAACCACCAACATAAGGTGGCCCTTCTTCCA